TGGCCAAAATAGAAAATCAAATCCAAGTTGATTCATCTTTGACTAAAGAATATTTTAATGGAGAATATAGTAATGACATTTGGTAAATTTTAAGATTCATTAATGGCAACAATGGAATTTTTCATTAATTGAATTTTAAATTCAATTAAATTAGTTTAAATTGCCATGTGTACTAGGAAAATTACTAGAAAAATCAAGAGTTCTCCTCCTCCATCTGCTTGCTGCCGTGAAACCCCTACAAGGTGAGAAAAAAAATCCTTTTTCATTTTCGAGCTATTTTAGTAGGGTTTTGGATTAAATTGTGAAATAAAAAAATGTTCTCCGTCAAATTCTCTATCATTTGGTATAAGAAATTCATATTAAACATGCTTGAATGTTGAGATTTGGTGATCAGGGTTTATAAATTTTAAGGATTTGATGAAAGATTTTTTATGTTCTTGATTTTGGAAATTAATTCTAACGCTTATGTGATGATTAATATCATGCGTGAAGTCCTATATTAGATTCAACAAAGTTGAAGTTTATTGAGGTTGGATTAATTTTTATTTAATTTGATGTTGTAATGGTTAGAATAGCATGAATTTGGTATAAAGGAAGTTGAATTCATGCTTGAAATTAAATGGAAATCAAGCTTTATGGTTCTTGGAATATTTGGTCATTCAAGGAAAAATAGGAGAAAAATATTGAAAAATTCCCTATGATCTAGAATTGATATTAGATGTGTTCTATGTGACTTGGAGATCAATTTGGGAAGCTTGAATTAGAAAAAGGGTTGTTTTACAAGTTTTGAGAATTGTGGCATATTATTGTATTAATGTGATAATTGGAGGGTTCAATGTTGAATTTTAACATTTGAAATGCTGGAATTTTTAAGTTGGGAAGTTGGTTGGAACCAAATTTTAAGTTTGGTGAATTTTAGTGGTAGAATTCGAAAAGTCCTAAAGTTTAGGGACTTGATTGTGAGTTATTAAATGTGAAAGTATCATTTGAGTAAAATATTACTATTCTGGAAATTTTATTAGTATGTTGATTTTTGGATTTTGATTACAAGTTGGGGGCAATTTGCGAGTTTATTAAAGTAAAGGGTTGAATTTGAAAAGTGATGACTTGTCTACGACGTGCTAAACTTCCATTACCGTGCAAATTTAAGCCTCATCCTTATCGACGTCAAGTTTATGGTTGAACCTTATCCGCATCAATTTTTACATTAGATGGCATTTTAATTAGTAAATTATTAATAATTATGGCAGACCCTTATCCCCTGTCTACATTTATATCTTGATATACCTTGGCTAGAATCGTTAATGAAGTAGTCAATATAAGTATTAAGACATTAAGGCGTTGATTTTTTGTGGGGTAATTGTCACAGAAAAGAAGCAAATGGAGGTGTAAGACCTTTATTTGAAACCCTTCCAACGTGCCAAATCTGACAAAAGAAATATTATTATTTTTAAGTTTTCGAGTTCAACACAAAAAATGTAAGGAGTATACAGTTTAAAATTATCACCGGTCAGATATTATTTTATATTTATCTCATATTAATAAAAAAATTCACCTTTGGAATGAACACCATCAACAATGAGCTTCCAGGCCTCAACTGGCTCCTTTGTCCATATACCAAATGCATAGGCATACCTTTATTAATGAGAAGAAAAAGAAAGGATTTCATGAAATTAAATATGGCTCCTTACTCCATTGCATATGGGAATAGAGTTATGTTGTCGTTGTTTAAAGAAAATGTAAAGTTTTCAACATTCTATGCACACAGTACATAATTCTGCTAATAATAGTCTATTACCCTTGAGCCTCCGGTAGCCTCGGAGGTCGAAAGACCTCCTTTGGACGTTCTCTGGGAATAGTAGAGAATGGCATGTGGTTGGTCTGGTCAATGGTGCCAATGCAACCCTGAAAAAGATAGGCAAAAGAGAAAAGAGGTAAATTGCAGCTAGTTAGTGGAGAGTGGAGAGTGGAGAGTAGAAAGAATCAGGAAAAGGTTAACATTTTGTTTTGGTGAAGGCTTGAGATTAGGATATCCATTATTAATAAACATGATTAATTTTATTTGTTTTATTCTTATGACCATGAAAAGAGATTGTTGGAATTCAACTTAGAGGTATGAACATTAACCGATTAGATAGTATCAGTATTAATCATTATAATATATAGGGTATAGTTTATCCGATCATTCTTTTGTAAGTAGACTAAAATTATGTTTTGTGATTGGTGATTGGTGATTGGTTGTAATTGGTTTTTGTTGCAGACTCTGTTTTTTTGGGTAATAAAAGAAATTATTCAAAAAAGAAAAAGAAGTTCTCCATCTTATAATTGAATAAAATAAAATATACAACCATCATACCACAGTGTTGTTGTATGTTAACATTCACCATCATCAAGGTTAAATGACGCTAATATAAATTAGGGTAAACTACATTAATGGTCCCTATTATTTGAGTAAGTTTTTGTATGTTACACTAAAGTTTCAAAATTAATAAATAGGTCACTAACAATATCGATTTATAATAAAATGACTACTAACATTATCAATTTATAACAAAATGAACACTCCATCATTTATGTTAAATTAATGACATGGAAACATTAACAAAAAGGTTAATATTTCATTTTACCCTTAAACTACTGTTAAAATATCAAATAGATCATTGAATAATAATTTTATATCTAATTTAGCCCAAAAAAATTTCATTTTCATTTTTTTCAAAGCAAACCATTACCTTCATTATATTCAAACCGCTCTCTTTATAAAATGAAAATCACACTTAAACAATTAGGAGCACTTTCCTTAGTATTTGTTTTAACCACACTTAATCAAAACCTAAAAAGTCTAAAACTATCTTCAACTGCAATACTAATCTTCGAAACTCAATATTTTTGTTCCTATCTTACAACGTTGCGTTGGAGTAAAGTACTTATTGGTGTGCTCTATTCTCTCTTTAGCATTTAATTTTTGGTTCGTGTGTTACTAATTGTCTAAAATATATAATGAAACAGAAAAAAAAAATAACAGAATGGTTCGCCCTTTGTTTGTTTGTTTTTTTGCAATAAAGAGAAGACAACTTATTGTTTAAATATAGATGTTTTATTTAAGTGTAGTTGAAATAAATGCCAATAAAAATGTTCATAATAATTTAAGTGTGTTTTTTGTTTTGTATGGTGTGATTTGGATATAATGGAGGTGGCGGGGTATTTGGAAAAAATGAAAATTAAAAAGCTTTTGGAATAAATTAGATATAAATGCATTGTTCAAGGATCTAGTTTGAATACCTCAGATAATATCATATGACTTTATAAAAGAGTTTAAAATGTATGCCATATAAGGTACTATGATATTTACTCTGTCTTCCGTTGCAGCCTTCAGGTACCATGAAGACGCAATACAATGCGTTCGAAGTGAACCAAACCGGGTATGACAACTGCACGACGGAAGGAGCAGTGGCTAGGATTTTATACCTCTGAATAAGGCCAAGAGGTACTACTTCATTTGTGGGAATGGGCAGTGCTCCAAAGCAGATATTTTTTAGGGGGTAAAAGCTACAAGAGGCGTACCCTCGGTGGCAGGGGTGGGACAATGCTAACCGTTGCGTGAAGCATGTGTTTTGTTTTTCATTGAGACAACAGCCTGACCCCATTATTCTTTCATTAAATCAAAGTGAAGAAATATTACCGAGTGATAACTACACTTTATCCACCCCGATAATGCCACCACAATAAAACAGTAAATTCAAAGAAACACTATAATTTTTTTTCTTCATGATTTTGGTCTAAGAATTTGCCACGACAGTCACATTGCACCTTTTTTTTTCAAACGAGGGGGAGCTGGGAAGGAAGAGAGGGTCACTTTGGCTTATCCATCCTATTCTTTGCCTGTCACCCCCCATGGCCCCCCTCTTAAATTTCCAATTCCAATCATACACTATGCTATTAATGTATTCCCATCTTATTAAAAAATTTCATGTTATTGACATATGTATGCCCTCTAAAAAATATTTATAGATATGCGTTGGCTTAGACTATTAAAAAATAGAGTGTCATTTTTTCTACGGAATTCAAAAATTATGTTTGTATGACTTAAATACATGCACATATTTTACTAAAATCATGCAACTTACCACCACTTGGAGCTCCGGAAAATCTGGGGAAAAATACATTGAATACTCTGGGAAGCAACGAAAGCTTAATCTATTTCATAGATTTGGGGCTCCAATCTAATATTTAATTACATTTTGATCTTAGCTAGGTTTATAGAGATCCTCACTGAGTTTTCTTTGACTGTAATCCCCAGTGTTTTAGCTTCAGTCCATTATCATGATTAGGAAAGCGACTTTGTTGTAATAATAACTGCAAACCAAAATAAGTTCAAATCAGCAATCATTTCTGGTGAAATCAAAAAGCTATCTCTATCAAGGGGATAAAAATGCAAGAGGATTAAATAAGATGGACCGACATAAATTAAATTAATCCATGGTCCATTAATTCCCTGCAAATATACAACCCCAAAACTCCAGGGGGAGCGAGTGAGTGACTTTTATGTCATTATTGGAAGCATTGAATGCGGAGTTTGAATATTTATTTCTTCTTTTTATCGTGTCGTCACCACCACCACGGGGCATCTGCTACCATTTTTCTATAAAAGTAGATTGCTGCCTATAATTGTAAATAATTCAAATTAAAATTTCAAATGAAAATTAAGAAGAAAAAAAAAGCAAAAGGTGTTGCACCGAAATGCTTTTTTTTAGACTGTGCACCGTTGTTGAATAGTAAAAGCTGCATAATGTAGCAGAGAAGAGAGGGACAATACAAAAAATTGCTTCCAGAAAACTAAGACCCCATGCTTCCCAGTTTCCAAGCAATGCATGCCACTGCCACTGCCACTGCCACTGCCACTGCCACTGGTCATCTATATTCATAATGTTCGAATGAAGATTGTATGGAAACTTGCCTTCACAATCATAATTATATGCCTCGTGTTAGTAGAGAAAAAAAAAACAAAGTAGAAATAGTTCATATAATATACATACAACATCATCATAATACACACCTTCAGTCCCTCCCCATATACGTTTTCAAGTCACAACTTTGCAATCAATATCATCTAAATCCTATATTACACTCATCAACAGTCACCAAAACTCCAAACATGACAGCAAAAGCAGAACCAAAACTGAAGGATGACCAAAAATAAACTAATCTGCATTGGCCTTCTGTTTTCTCCTTGATCTGCTGTATAATTTAGATGGCGGAGACGGAGAAAACTCCACCGGAACTGGTGGGAGATCCATCTCCCCTTTCAAGATCTTTACAATCTCCATGATATCCGGTCGCAATTCGGGCATTTTCTGCAGGCAACTAAGTGCTAGATTTATGCACAAGCTTGCCTGCTCCTTATTGTATTCATCTTTCAATTTCTCATCAACGAGCTCTAATATGTTTCCGGATTGAGCTAAATGCCTACACCAGCTTATTAAGTTTGCCTTTTCGAGCTTCATAGGTGAAGCAAGGACATGCAATGGCCTCCTGCCAGATACGATCACAAGGATCAAAACTCCTAAACTGTAAATATCAGCTTTCTCCATTAGGTAGCCACACCCACTGTACTCCGGCGCAACATAACACAAAGTCCCTCTCATGCTCGTCGTGCTGCTTAGCTCACGACTGAAAAGATCCCCACTCCACATGTCGCTTTCAATGGAATTGTTGTTCTTTCTCCTCCATCCCCTTCTAAAACTGAACTCTCCATTCGCATCACAGGCATCTTGATCCGGTTCCCCGAACTTCTTGCTCCGGCTGAAATAAAACCCCCTTTCCAGATCAAAATGTGGCATTTTAAACCCTTTCTTCCACTTAATCTTAAGCTGCCTCAGCTTACTATCCTTTTTCCTTGTCTCACCTAAATGGTCATCTTTCCACCATTCTTGCATCTTCCTGTGCGTCTTTTTCCTGTTTTTCCTTTCTTTTGATTTAGGTTCTTTCTTCTCGAAACCCTTATCCAAAGCATCAAAGTCAAGTCCTTGCATCTGGGGTTCACCAACATCTAACTTATCCAACTGAGTTGAATTGCCCAACTCAATTTTCTCAGGACTTGCCTTTTCTCATCATCCCAATCAGGATTTGATGGACATATTTGGCTCCCAATCCACTCCATAACATAATCTTTACTGCACAATTCACCACTACCATCTTGCCTCCACCACCAATCCTTTCCCCATTGTTTCATACTGGCCGGCGTACCTGACGCCTCATCAGCACCCAAATTTGCACCAGAATTCAGCTCCTTACTATGATCAATACTACCCAACTCATCATCATAAGGCACAAACTTAGTATTCCAATCATCCCCACCAGTATCCACACAGGTAACCTCCTTCCCTTTTCCATTAATCCCACCCTTACAAGCACTATCACTGGCTAAGTTTGCATTAAAATTCAAAGAACTTAAACTCAGGGCCCTAACATTATAACACTTTGTACTATTTATTGAAGAAGAAGAAGCTTGTAAAGCAAGGGCAAAGTCTACCTCGGTGTTGTTACTCTCCATAGGAGTCCCAATAGCTGGTTTGTGTTCACCAGTAGTTCCTCCCAAAGACCCAGACAACTCTTGGCTCTTCCATAGCTCTTGACTGAACAAATCCACTCCAAACTCACCTTCTACCTTAATTCTCGACAACCCAAAATCTGAGATCTTTGCTCTATAATCAGAATCAAGCAACACATTGCTGGGCTTGATATCTCCATGAATTACCGGAGGATCACAACCCAAGTGAAGAAACTCGAGAGCTTTAGCAACATCGAGGATGACATCAAATCTTCTCTGCCAATTCATGCTCAAATTACCATCTCCAAAAAGTGATTCTTGCAAGTTTTTATTAGGCATATACTCGTAAACAAGCAAACGCTTGTTTTTTTCAACGCAATACCCCAAAAGGGTGACCAGAAAAGGTGATCTTAGCCCACCGAGAATCTGCAACTCGTTTTGGAACTCTCTCTCGGTTTGCAAGGAGAGCGTGTCAAGCCTTTTGATTGCAAACAATTTACCATCACTGACAATGCCACGAAACACGGTGCCTGAACCACCTTTGCCTATGATATTTGCGTCATCGAAATCATCGGTAGCGTTCTTCAAGTCCTTGTAACAAAACCTTTGGAGCTTGAGAGGAGCACTGGAGTCAAAAGGGATGGTTCTAGCTCGGTTTGAAAGAGAGTTCCAAAGATGGTAAAGGAAGTAAATTATAGTAAAGAGGATAACAGCGGAAGAAGAGATAGTTAAGACCAAGAATATAACTCTTGTCTTGTTGAGGAAACTTGGTCTTGGCATGTTTGAACCTGGAGATAAAGGCCTTGAAGGCATGCTTTCTTTTCTCTTGTTTCAGTTTCTGAGTATCTCAAATTCTCTTGATCTAGTCCCTGGATTCAGCAAGAAAACGAATTGGAAATACAAATCAGGAAATGGGTTTCTTTTTCTTTTAGCATTCCTATCTTCAAACAATGCCTACTTTTTTTGAATTGTTCTTGTAAATGTTGATTTATTGCTCTGTATCCAATGTGAGATTGCTTTACAGTTGGATGATGGAGCGAAAAATAAAATCTGATAATTGTAGTTTAGCGTATGATGATTTATGATTTTGACAAAATTTTTAATGGGATTCCTTTTAAAAAAATTGATTTATGAAAAGGATAAAAGAGGGTCCCCGAGAGTGTTCGACTGAAAGAGCATGTTTTGTTTGATGCAGATAAAGGCGATACTACTACTGTAAGATAATAAAAACAAAGTATATGGGGCGCGCAATATGTGGATTGCGTGATTAGGCTAACATCAATTACTCTGTTATATGATAAATGAGTTGAGTTGAGCTCGAGTATTATTGATTTCGATTCGATTTGAAAATTTAAAAATAGAATTTGACTCAATTCAAAAGTTCTTAAGTCTAAAATTATTAAGCTTGACTCGAATTTAAAACTATAAATAAAAGCTCGTAAAAGTTTGTAAAAACTCAAAATGGAAAAAAACTTAAATTTAATTCAATGGAAACTAAAACTCAAATTTAAACTTTAAATGTATGAAAATCTTGTAATGATTTTTTTTAAAATAACGCATAAATTTTATTATTATTAATATTTTTAAATAAAATCTTAATATATTATTTTTTTTCAAGTTACTCGCGAATTTTTAAGTTGATTATCAAATAGTTCGTTTCGGTTCGTTAAGAACTCGGGTCGAATCTATTCGAGTTGAGTATTTATTGATCTTCGACCGAGTCAATCTCAAATAACTCACGATTTGTTTCGTCTTATCTACGGTCTAACTCTGTACAACTCACACGTCAAATTATTTGTTTAGAATTTTTTAATTATTAAAAATACATGTATATCACAATAGTAGTAGTAGCTTGAACTTAATAATTTTAAAGAAAATAATACTGCTCTTTGTTAATAAATTATTTGATGAATTCTATTATTTTATTATTTATGAGTGACGTATTTAATAAATCATAATAACATTTATTATTTTATACGAGTCTGAGCTAGGGCTATAAATGAGACGAGACATGTCGCGAGCTACTCGAGATCGATTCGATCAAGGCTCGATAAATACTCGAATCGAATGGACTTGAGCTCGACTCGAATTCTTAACAAGCCGAAACGAGCTACTTGATACTCGACTCGAAAAGCTCGTGAGCAGCTCGAAAATATAATATAATAAAATTTTATTTTTAAAAAAATAAATTATTAATAATATTAATATTTATATGTTTATTTTTTTTTAAAAATACAATAAGACTTTCATATATTTAAAATTCATGTTCGAGTTTGAGGATTCAATCTTGTTAAATTTACGAATTTTTTTCCTATTTCGAGCCTTTTCGAACTGCTTACAAGTTTCAGTTCAAGATTTCGAATTTGAGTCGAACTTAAAAATTTTAGAGTTTTAAAAGAGTGTTACTAATTTTCAAGTTGGAATGTCATTTTCTTAACATACTTTACCACTAAGGATGCATCGTTTCTTTTCCATCAAAGATGTATCCATGCTGACTATATTTTCAAACCAAAGTATATCATATTATGCTGTCAAGTAATGGGTGGTGGAATGTGGCTATTGTGATTTGTGTCTACTTTCTTTCTCGTGCTTAGAGCCTACATTATTCGTGTATTTTATAATTTTTATGTTATTAAATTAATATATTTATGATTATATTATGTTATAATTCTTTTTTACGATGTAATGGTTTAATAGCAGAACTAAACATGGATGATATTGATATGAGTGGGGTCTTTCGTTGAGAATTAAAATGAAGCTTTGGATACTTTTTCCCCCCTCGGTCCTAAGCTATTGATGTCTTTGCATTTACTTTCTTTGCTTTACAAGTTAGGGGGTTAGGATCAAAGAATTTCATTCCCAAGAGAATGAAATCCACATTCTCATGTTTAGTTGACCGGAAATCTCATTTTTGGTAATATTTTATTATTAATAGTAGATTTTTTAGAGTATATTACCAGGAATGTCATTACCTTCCTTTCCTTAGGTATTGTTGGATTACCTTTATTTTGGACTAAAATGTCTTTAAATTTTTATTTCTTTTCAAAAATATCTTTCTTCTTTAATTGAATAATAAAATTCTACGAAGGTTAAATTACAAATTTATCCTTAAACTATTTTAGATTTACAAAAAAAAATATAATTAAAATTTTATATGAAGTTAAGAGATTATAATAAAATTTTACCATTTCATCAAACTTTTTTATATTTTCAATTTTGTAAAAAAATATAATTTTTATGAATTTAAATTTTTTAAAGAAAATATATAAATATTTTTCAACTTGTTAAAAAAACAAATATATAATAAGAATAATTTGGTCAAATATACATTCTAATAATCTTTTATTCCTTTAATCAAACACGGTAATCTTACATTTCTGCTAAACCGACCAAACACAAAATACAACAATCCTAATAATCATATTCCCTGGTAATCTTACATTCCCACTAATAATATATTTCGTGAACCACGTGTTTTCATCTTTTGTCGTCACGTGTCCTCAAAAAACATTTCTTTTAGAGAAAATAACCTCAGTGACCAAAAATGCCTTATAATATACGATTTTAACTAACTTTTTTTGGATTTGCCAAAATGACCAACTAAATCGCAATGCGATCGATAATTCGCAACGCGATCTCCGGTATCGCAAATCAGTTTCTCGATTCGCAACGCGATTCTGACTATCGCATTGCGATTTTCGTAAATCGCAATGCGAATACGTAAATCGCAATGCGAATACGTAAATCGCAATGCGAATACGTAAATCGCAATGCGAAAACGTAAATCGCAATGCGAATACGTAAATCGCAATGCGAATACGTAAATCGCAATGCGAATCTAATTATTGCAATGCGATTTACATAGCGCCATTCGTATCCAACGCGTATTTTTTTTCAAATTCCAAACACGAATATATTAATATATCGGAACACTGAACCGTCCACAGTATATCCCGTAATCGCAACTCATAACCTAAAACCTTAAATCACAACTCAGTCTCATCTCCATCTCTCACTCTCTAAGGCGACATCCGTCCCCGTCTCCGACGAAATCAGTCCCCATCTCCGACGATATCAGTCTCCATCTCCAGCGAAATCATTCACGGTCAGAAATAGAAAATCAACCAAATCAACCACCGAGGGTTAGTTTTTTAATTATTTTTATTTTGAAATTTTTGCATTATTATTAGGTTTTTCATATTGTAATTGATGATAAGTTTACTGGTGTTTTCAATAATAGATTAACCATTTCAATTAGATTGCTTATTATATTCATTCGATTGCTGCCAATACTTCTAAAATGTTTAGTCTTTAACCCTGTGAAGTTAGTATTTGTCTTTGTTTTGTCTTTTGGTTGAAGTAATGCAATCCATTCAAGTTTCTTTCAATTTTAGTATTTGAAACCGAGAATGACTATCGCAATGCGATTCTGTCGTTGCGATTTTCATTTCGCGTTGCGATTCTTGCGTTGCGATAGTCAAATTCGCGTTGCGATAGTCATTTTCGTGTTGCGATTTTCATTTTCGTGTTGCGATTTAAAGTTTCAGAAACTATTCTTCTTCTGCAAATTGAAACTTGAATGAATTGCATTACTTCAACCAAAAAACAAAGACAAATACTAAATTCACAGTGTTGCAAATTTAAGTTTGAAGAATAAACTACTACTCTTTATGTTTATTGTTCTTGTTATATCTTCACAGTGTAGTTTTTGGTATATCTAAATTGGTATGTTTATTATTTTTGTAGAACTTTTATTCGGCTCAATTGACCTTAAGAAATAAAGTAAGCCTGGCCAAAACAATTGCGTCGAAGCTTTCACCTGCACAAAGAAAAATATTTGAGGATACTTGCTTCGACCCATGGCTGAAAGTACAACATCCGGGTGGAGATGCTATGTTGACCCATCTGTTTCTTCAAACTATGACTAGCGATCTACCAGAGACTATACAACGTCGTGATGAAGAGATATGGTTCGATTTTCCACCCGCGTATACGTGTTTTGGGCGGGAGGAGTTTTGCTTAATCACCGGTCTACGCTTCGGACACGATGATGTAGATCGGTACACTAGACATATTACCCGCCTATCATGGTTTTCTCGGGTTTTTCCTGAGCTGTCAACGGAGAAGTTGAATTTACACGTGGAAGACTTGACGAGATTATTGAATAAGAAATATGGTTTTACTCGGATGGATGACGTCGATGTTGTCCGAGTATGCCTTCTAATACTTTTGCAAGTCAGCTTTTTAGGCAGAGAGGCCCGACAACCTATTCCTAATGATCTAATTAAATTGGTAGAGGACCTAAATGCATGGAACTTGTTTCCGTGGGGTTCGTATCTATGGAAAGCTACATGGAATAAGTTGTCGTCTGCCTTTGATGATCGAAAAAGTTGCTTGGCGATGGTTCCAAATACACTTTGTCAGGCTTTATTTGGGCCTTTAAGGTAATAATTTTTATATAATGTTTCCAAAATTATAATTAATTCTTTAACAATTACTAATGTTTGTTATTATATTGTTTGTAGATTTGGATATTTGAGGCCTTTCCGCCATGCAGACATATGCATTAAAAACTTCTAATGATATTCCTAGGGCTATTTCCTGGAAAAGGAAACGATCCTTGCAGCAATGGGAAGATTTACTACCGTATACTACAATAAATAATGTAAGTTAACACAAATACTACCATATGTTTATAAACAAGTTATTACTAGTACACGTTTAACTTTGTTTGAGCTTTTATATTGTTAGGAGGCCAACACCCACGGAAGCTGAGCTTGCCACTGATTGGTGGCAAGCTAGTAAGCGTTTATTTGATGGCACGGATGATGAGCAGCCACCACTTCGAGAGCCATCACCTCACCCAGAGCCATCACCTGATCGACCCGAATATACACCTCCACAACGAGAGTCATCACCTATTCTGTCACATCATCGAGCCTCTTCTCCACCATCACCTCATGATAGGCGACCGATAAAGATGTCACAACGTTTATCTCTCTCTGTTGTCCACCTCCACGGGATGAGTTA